ACCTTCACTGGAGATCCCATCCTCATGAGGGTTCCAACCTCACCAGACCCATCCTCATGGGGGACCTACCCTCACAGGGACCTGCCCTGCACCAGTGAGATCCCCACTCTGGGGTACAACTGAGCCAGCTTTGGGCACTGAGGCCCTGGCTTCAGAGATGACCTCGGTCACACACATGCTAGAGATCCCCAGGGCCATGTTAGTCTTGCCCTTAGTGATGCAGTCTCTCCTTGTCCAACATGTCCTGCTGCCATGAGGCTTGGGGTGGTCCCAGGGTCCCATTGGGAGTCTGGGATCAGATTCAGACATAGACGTTGGTTCCTATGTAGCAATTGGTTGCTATCTAGAGTAGACCATTGAGAAAAATGACAATATGGGTTGCATCCTTCTCCTGTGGGAACGGGTAAGCAGGGGTCAGGGTGGGGGGAAACAGGCTGGGAGGAGAGGGTGGAGAGGCACGTGGTGCAGGTGGATCTGTGCCTGGTGTGTGGCTAGGGGATGTGGGTCTGATTGCGGAGAAGGCACTGGGGGATCTGTGGGTTGGCCAGGGCCCCAGACCCCCAGCAGTACCCACCATGGAGCTGACAGCTATGATGAAGATGGAGGCCACCAGGGACCAGGGCCCAGCCCTGCCTCCTGATTGGGGGCACAAGAGAAATTCCAGATTCTTTCTTGATTCCATGCAGGGCATGGATGACCAGATGACCAAGGAGCTACTTCCTGTCAACACTGGAGAGGGGCTTGGGGGTCCTCAATGTGCTCTGGAGGAATACATAAATGACACATTCATTACCCCCAAGTGCTGGGGACTAAAATCTGTGCCTTCTACCCCCAAGTATGAGTTGGTTTGCTGGACAGTGAGGTCCGTGAGAGCAGCTACATGGTTATGTTCACTGATGTGTCCACAGTGTGCAGGAGCTGGCACATACCATGCGGGGGGTGAGTTAATGAAGGACGTGTGTGTGGAAGAGGGTGGGTGGGCAGACGGTGCTGTCCTGTTCTGCTGCCTCCCCCCAACGTCATGTGCGATGTTGTCCAGGCGAGGGTGTCAGGTGAGCAGTGAGGTGCATGAACTGTGTCTGGGATGTGGATTTGAGAGTCACCAGCAGACAAATGGTGTCTCCAGCCATCTGAAGGGGGTAAACAGAGGAAGGAGCCCTGGGGCTTCTGACAGCCCCAGGACAGCCAGTGTCCTTACTCTGAAGCTATAAGAAGCAAAAGTTTCCAGAAGGATGGAGTGCTGGGCAGACCAGGGAGGGGAACTGTTGGGATGTTGGCAGTGTAGAGTGAGAGACTGCAGGAGGGGTGAGCAGGGAATGAGGGGGATCAGGGCCAATCAGGAGGGTGATGGTCAGGCAGGAGGTCCCAAATGATCCCCCTGGGCCAACTTTACAGACTTGTGAGCTGGCTTAGGTTCTGAGCCCTTTCTGAGCCTCAGTTTCTCCAACCACAGTGAAGAAGTTGGATCCACTGATGCCCACAGTGGTACTGTCCTTTGCCCTCACCCGTGCCAGAGGCTGCCCAGTCTCCAGGCTTGTGCCTGCCCTGTGCCCCTCACCCCTTGCAGCTGCCCTTGACCAGGAGGAAGACAGGCAGAAGGCATGGCCCAGAGAGTACCCACTCTCTCCAGCCATACGGCCTGTCACTGCTCAGGGGTCAGGGCCAGGGGAGGCCCCTCTCCCTTCTAGGGCTCAGAGGTGGGGCTCTGCCCCTTCAGACTCTTCACACTGCTGCAACCAGGATGGCTGTCAGTATCTGCAAACACAGATGCATGCACATCCTCAGACAGGCAGATACTCACGAACACGGGGACACACACTTGCAGGTGCACACTTTGTTGGATTGGGGGCTACTGTTCTTGAGGGTTCCTGCACCTGCTCTTGGCACCCCTCCCCATCTATAAACACCCATCAAAACAAGGAAGCTGGGCTCGGCGCCTATAGCTCAACCGGCTAAGGCGTCAGCCATGTACACCTAAGGTGGCAGGTTGGAATCCCCAGCCCACCCCCCAAACAACACAATGACGGCTGCAACCGCGTTGTGGTGGGCGCCTGTGGTCCCAGCTACTTGGGAGGCGGAGGCAGGAGACTCGCTTGAGCCCAGGAGTTGGAG